ATCTCTTTCAGCATTTCAAGTATTAGCTGAATGTCTTGCTCCTCCATTTCCTTTTTTTCGTAAATTCAATACTTCTTCCCAAATCAATGCGTGTTTAAGCTCTGACACCAGTGTAACATGTTTTGCGTTACTGATCCCACTTCTGACACCAGTTGTCGCGTGTCTTGAGTTCGAAGCTCGTTGATCACGTGTTTAAGTTCTAATCCCGTTGGTCGCGTGTATAAGATCGTATCCCACTTCTGACACCAGTTGTCGCGTATCGGGCGTATATCGCGACAAATAACTTCTCGATGTATTTGATGTAGCGAATTTTATTTCACATTCGCACTTACAATCACCCAAATTACAGATTTACGATTACTGCTATCTGCAGTATCACAATTAGTACACTCCAAATGCCGGAATACCACTGACTAGCTGCTGGCTAACTCGGCGTTAGCTCCAGGACTCACTGACTGACTCAGTACAACTGACTCGCTGACTTTACGTCTCGACTCGGCGAATGTTACTTTATAACTGACTCGCAGCCACTGTGCAGCTCACTTATATAGCTGCAGTGCTTGCTTGTTGCGTAATGAGTGCCACGTCATCCTGTTNCCCCTGAAAACCAGCAGCATAAAATTCTTTGGGCTGCTGCTGGAACCAGGCGGTGACTCGTCGGGAAAATGTTCAGCTGAAAGATGATGTTTAAGGGGGCCAAACAAATGGAAGTCGCTTGGAGCAAGGTCGGGGCTATACGGAGGACGCTCGAGGACTTCCCACTTGAAATTTTGTAGCGTTTCATTTGTCTTGTTGGCAGTATGGAGACGTGCATTGTCATGCAAGAGCAACACACCTTTCATGAGGAGTCCTGGTCGCTTCCGTTGAATGGCCTTACGAAGTTTCCTGAGGATGTTACAGGAGTCGGCATTTACAGTTTGTTCTTGAGGCTGAAATGCGGTGAGCAATATACCTTCGTGATCCCAGAAGACTGTCAGCATCACTTTCCTGGAGGACGGTGTCACCTTAAACTTTTTTGGCAGGTGATGCAGGATGTTTCCACTGCACTGACATACACTTTGTATCAGCCTGGTAATGGTGAACCCAAGACTTGTCATCCGTGACAATTCGGGCTACCATATCGTGTCCTTCATCGTGGTAGCGACTGAGATGCTGTAATGCCAGACCCATTCTTTGCATTTTGTGTTGTGGGGTCAGCATGCATGGCACCCATCATGCACAGACTTTGTGAAAACCTAACCTGTCTGTCATGCATTATGAGGTAGGCCATGCAGGGTGAACAACCAATAGTAGTGGCTATAGTGTCTATAGTTACCCTTCTGTCTGCTCGGATTAAGTCTTCAACCCGTTGCACATTTGCCTCTATGGCAATCTCCGTTGGCTGGCCGACACGGTGTTCGTCTTCGATACATGTCTGCCGTTCAGAGAACTTCTGCACCCAATTGCAAACAGCTTGACATGACAGGCACTTCTCACCATAGATGGGAAGCATTTCTTTATAAATATTCTTTGATTCCATACCTTTTGCCCACAATAATCGCCCAAATGAGTGCTGCTCGAGGGTTGTACACTCACTCAGAGGCACTGCCACAATAGATCACTGTGGTCGCGATGTAAGGGCCAAGAAGGCCCACCCCTTATACATTCATCTTGCAACTGCTGTTTTGCTTTTGTAAACATCGATTGTCTTGTGTCAAATGTCATCAATTGCCACTGGACTAATGTTACCATCTAGTGGTGATAGCCTCAAGTGCCTTATTCAAACACCTAGTACCCCACATCAATTTGTAACTTACTTATTGACTCACCTACGTATATTATAAAAATAACATGCAAAATATTATTGTAGATCACAGAAAGATTATAATGCATCATATAGTGGAATTGATTTCACAGCATTTCATTCATGTTCCTTAACTTGTTCTTTCCATGTAGATTATCCTAAAATATTTTTCCTTAAAATATCCTCAGAGGTACAAAACATACGAGTCCTAAGTGTTCAAAAACGCATAATATTTGTAACAGAACAGCATATGTTATAAGAACAATGAATACAGCTGCCCAACCTTTTACTGTTTTTACATTCATCCAACAGAGAGACAGGGAAAGAATTTATTTCACGGATAGACAGTTGAAAACAATTTCCATAAAGTAGTAAGCTAAATTAATTTAATAAATATATCCTGAATGTACAGATGACCAACAATGCCTTTACTTAAGACTAACTGAAAAATAATAATTAATTTCATTAAGAGTCATGTCTCTTCAGTTTCATTTCCTACCTACCAAGCAATCGCATGTCTCTATCCCAAGGAACTGCGAGCAAAATCATAAGTTAAAATTCAAATTTCTCATTAGCATCAGGCTTTACTGAACTGTAAAGGTTTAAAAAAAAAATTCTCTCATAAAAGTTCAATATAATGGTATTCCACTTTCCACAGAAAGGCACTCATCTTAAAAGAAAAAAAAAAAGACTATGAAGCAAAGATCGGATCATTTTCTACTATCACATAATTCTGAAGATAAGGAACACACAATGCAAGCCATCTGTCAGTAACACAGGTTGGGTTGCACGATGTACAAATAGTCCAGCAATTTGCTTGAACATACTGTTAAGTGCAAATACAGTGGAATCCTCTTAAGTAGTTTCCCAGGGGATCTAAAAATTCTGACCTCTTAAAAAAAACTATCTCTGTAACAGGCTGTGAAGGCCTATAAGGTTGTGAGATCTCAAGGCTAATACATTTTCTAGGCAATCGGTTCACAAATGGCTGTGAGGTTGTCAGCCTTACATGCCATCTGCCCATTACCTCCAGGAAGATTCCTGGCACTCATTTGTGTTAGAGGCTGAGTCAACCTCTGGGTCACAGTGTGGCAGGAAGGTTTAGGTCAACTGATAAATCCAATGATTTCATCACAAATCAAACCCAAAACCTTCTGGGTTGTAGCTGAGAACCTCAACCAACTATACAACCAACTATGTTACAGCATGCCCCCAATAAGCAGTCTGTAGGAGTAGGTATAAAAAGTAGATATGCAGATTCCTTGCTGAAAAATTAGTCATCTCTCACAGTTTATTAAAATGTATAAGTACTAAAATTAATAGCTTTTCCTCTTTAGTTAATAGTTTTTGTTTTATTCCTGTCTTGCACCTCCCATGCTATTCAGCCTTTATGCTTACTAACAAATAAATACAATGATTTGTTGAATCCACAGGTATGAGGATAGTATAGGGAACATGAGAATGAATTGCTAGGCATGCAGTGCCCTGGCAGTCAGGGCCAGTTTGAAAGTAGAAAGAGTTACAGAACAGTACAGATGATGCAAGAAAATAGTAAACGGTAAAAATGAAGGAAAGGAACAGCTGAGAGGCCCCATCCTTCCATTAAGTAATGGATCAACTATCTCAACAGAAGGGAACATGCTGAGCAGGTCAAAATCATATTAGCCTTACATTGAAACCTCTAAAGCAGATTCCACTGTACTCATATTACAAAGACTACATTTGATGTCAAAAAGTATTTACAGTTTAATGATGATCTTTAAATTAAACAATATTTTAAAAATTTTGCATCAACCACATTAACGTGTGGACCCAGAGATCAACCAGTTTTCTGTTGTTTAATGTTGTTGTTATTATTTGTGCTGTTGTTTAATGTTGTTATGATTATTATTGTTCTTGCTGTTATATCATCTTCAATATTATTGTTTACATGAAACTTACTTGGTTCCAATCCATCCACCTTTATCTTGGAAACATCAACATGAGGTTGAATGGGTACTTTGAGTGGACAACAAGACACAGTAACTCCACCATATAGAACATTCAGTGTGTAGTTCCCAGGTGTTGGTGCACGATAGTCAACTGTGAACGTTCCATCCTCATTGTCAGTCACAGTAAGTGGAACATCTGTTCCTTTTTCACTAGTCAGTGCCATCTGGATGTCACCTAAATGGATCAGTACCTTTATTAATAAAATGAATTCAGTTATAAAAATAATCTTACATAGTAAAGATTTAATAACACATTATTTGCTGCAAGCGTATTAAAAGAAGAAAGAGACAATTTGGCAAGTTGTGGCATCCTTGGGAAAGCTGCTGGAAGGTGGAAGAAACAAAGCATGGTTAAGGCAACAAACAACAGTTTTTTACTAGAGTCTTAAAGCAGTAAAGTACGGTTACCTCCTGTGCCTAAACATCACATCATGAAAGCATTCAGGTAAAGTGAAGACATGCTCCAGTTATATTAATGTGAAGTAAATACCCCACATTTAACTATGGCTGTTAAAACAACAGTTCAAATAAAGGTGGACGATCATCTTATTAAACTAATTAGTCCAAATTATTCATATGCCAACACAAGCTGGGTAATTTGGCAATATAGGAGGTGCAAGAATTTAATTCCTTTTTATCCATACAAAGTAACATCAATGAATCTGAAGTTTTCACAGCAGAGATTATGAAGAGTGGCATCTCCTCGGAAGTAATATCATGCCGTCCGGCAGAAGCTCGCTGATGTTCTGGAGCAATGTACTGCCTCCAGTTTCAGGGTCAAAGAGTGGACCAAGAAAGAAACTGGCAAGAAGCAGGCAGTAAGCATAACAGGGGCAATATATTTATCTAAGACACTGATGAACTTCTGCTGGATTTCATGGCATCTTATCTCAGAACATAGTATTATTCATTTTAATTTTTTTACTAATTTAGAAAAATCCTTTATGAGTGAAAACAGTGGCTGAAACTGTGAGCATAATTAATGACTGTTCTTCTGCAGATCAATTAACCTACAGTATATTCACACTACACCCTATCCATGGGTATGTTATCTCCACCAAAGTTCCAGTAATACCAGCATGAGGCAAGAAATTTCACAGTATAAGACAAAGTGAAGTAGAATGAAGATTCGTATGCACGTGCACACATCGTAACACATTCACAAAGAGAATTATAGGCAGGAAAAGAAGTGGAATCATCAAGTTGTCAAAGGATGTTATGTCAGACATGTTTATTCAGTGCAATACCTCACCTCTACAGTACTCCGGTGAATACAAGTAACATAACCTCAATTCAAGCACATGTAATGACAGTATTACAGTATAACTAGTAATCAAAGTAACCATGATACCAAATTTCTTAAGTAATAAATGTGCACACACTCCAATGCAAATTTCATAAAAGGGAACACAATTCTATACATAATAAAACGAACTGTATAAATAAAAGGCAGTTGATCTACACATAATTTCCATACTGTACCACTCACCTCCATCTGACGCCAAGGTCAAGAATTGTGGAGCTACACCTTCACTTACCCATACGTTTTCATGGCATACTGCTTAACTAATTAAGCACAGAATGATGAATATAGATATTTAAAAAGTTAAATATATTTATTTATTTATTATTTATTAAGCACAGAATGATGAATACGAGTACACACACACACACACATATATACGAGGGTCGATCAATAAGTACCTGTGTTAGGAATAAAGACACAAGTTTTTCACTTTTTTTTTTTTCAACGTAATCTCCTTTCAGGTCGATACACTTTTCCCAACGTTTCTGCCATTTCTTTAACCCCTCCAAAAAATACGATTTGTCAAACTCTTCAAAATACGCTTCTGTCTCGGCGATAACCTCCTCGTTTGAGCTGAATTTTTTTCCCCCGAGCCATGTTTTCATGTTGGGGAACAGAAAAAAGTCACAGGGAGCCAGGTCAGGCGAGTACGGTGGGTGTGGCAGCAATTCATAGTGCAGTTCATGCAATTTGGCTACGACAATTCCAGATGAATGTGCTGGTGCGTTATCGTGGTGAAACAGCACCTTTTTCTTAGCCAAATGGGGCCGTGTCTCCTTCAATTTCTTATCGAATCGGTCCAATAATTCACTGTAGTACTGCCCCGTGATCGTTCTTCCTTTCTGCAAAAAGTCCATGAGGATTATTCCCTTCGAATCCCAAAAAATCGTGGCCATGACCTTTCCGGCCGATGGGACCGTCTTTGCCTTCTTCGGAGCAGATTCACCCGGAAAAATCCATTGTTTTGACTGTCGCTTGGTCTCTGGCGTATAATAATGTATCCAGGTTTCATCAACGGTGACGACTCGACGCAAAAACTCCTGCGAATTTCGCTTAAAGAGGTCCAAACACTGCTT